ATCAATCTTATCATATCAGTTTGACATCTTTGATACAAGTAACGAGTTCACTTCCAAGTGAACAACCCGATAGTCTTCTTCTTATCATAGCATACCAACCAGCGAACACCCAGCCAAGTTTAGTTAGCCAGTTTGAGTATTCGTTACGCTTAAGTACTACTTAAGTAGTTATAACTAGTACTCACTACTAATTAAGTAGTAAAATTAACTACTTAACTCAACTCTACTTAAGTAGTACTTAAGTAGTACTTAATTAGTTGATTACTAGTAGTTTGTTTATACGCTAACCCCGGGCCGATTCTCGCTCCTCTATTCTAACATTCTTATATCTTAGTATGACTTTAACTTTCTCATATCTTAGTATAGCGCGTATAGCGCGTATAGTAAAGTAAAGTAAAGTAAGGGCGAAATCCTACTTAAGTAGTCTGACCACGCTACATCCTCTCATATCTCTCTCGATCCGCTAAAGAACCCCTTTTCCAAAACATACATACACACAAAAAAAAAAAGAAAAAAACGAGAAAGAGAGGGAGAACTATTAGTTATCCATTAAACACACACGCACACACACACACACTATAACCTAAAAAATAAAAAATAAAATAAAATTAAAAAAAGAGAAAGAAAAGAGAAAAAGGCATCTATCTAGCTATCTACTTTAGCTCCCTACCTATACCCAAAAAAAAGTGGAACGGGAGAAGATACAGCTCCTCCCATTCAAGCCAATCCCCAAGGGGAACCAGAAAGCCGGTCCAATGTCGAGCATCTTGATACCATGTATCATAAAACTATGACCCAAACACTCCCTCTTCCCAAAAAAATCAAATCACCTGCCCCCCAACCATATCATGCCCAAACCCACATCCAGAGAGCTCCAAAAGACCACCAGACGCGCTAAGGCGTTTCCCGCCATTTTTTGGTATATTTGGAAATTGTACCCTGTGTGTCCAAAAATGCTTGAGCTAGAACTCCCTTGCTGTGTTTTTCCCAGAATCCCAGAACAAAAAACGGAAAACGAAGAAGTAAAAAAATCCCATCCGATGAAAGCTCCACATGAAAGCCCCCACTATGCGCCTACCCACATCCACATCCCCAGCAATTAAAATATAAATATCGGATACAGAATGAAGCGCGTGCTTCTTCTTCTTTGAACGTTTTTGAAAAACAAATAACCCACCCAGTCATATAAAATCGCCTCGGATGAGAGGAGAAATCATTCATCATTCTGTTTATGACCACCCATGCCACTCATAATCAGATTCGGCCAGTTTTCCATCCCGTTGATTTGTCCACCCATATGCTGATGCTCCACCACAAGCGGAACCGAACTCTCCATGTCATTTTGAAGAGACGAGCTCGTATGAGGGGTGTTGTTCATCGTCTCTCTGCCGCCAACATTTCCTGATTGCAACAGCGCGTCCGCAGAACCCGTATCGTCAGGTCCAAGGTTGGAAGATCCTGTGTTGTAAGTGTAGCCACGCCACGCCATATTGGGATCATAGGGATTTGGACTTGGTACGGCGGAAACGGCCAGATAATTTGAGTTTGGAAAACCCGTGGAATATGAGACATCTCCCCCCAAATGTTCTGTCGGCAGTCCATTGGAATCTTGTGGATTAGATGACGAGGAGGTGGGGACGGTAGCATAGGTGAAGGCTGGCGGGGTGAGCGTGTGTCCATCTGCGGGTTCCTTTGCACTGAGAGCCTTTCGAGCCTGGGCCAATTGCTCTTCTAATTCTTTTACTTTGTCTTGCAAATGTCGAATCTTCGCTTCCATGTCCTCGACGAAACCACGAGTCGATGCCCTTCCGGTGATACGGTCCGTGGTTCGACATTCAGAATGGTTGTTGAGACACGGTGAACATCCCCCAGGAAGCCCATCGCAGCGTATTTTCCGGACCTAATGAACCGATTAGTGTCGTGTTATGAAATGCGTGCCACCGGTAGCGGCGCAGTGCAACGGGGGTAAATGGGATGCAGAGAAGGGTTTCGGGGACTCGACGCACCTTGCATCGATCACAGGCTTGGCCCGTTCGACTCGACCCCGCGAGTCTCTTCCTCACGATGCCCGAGAATTCATCAGGATGCTCAGGACGCGGGCGTTTCGAGGGAGGAGAGAGGGCGTCGTGAGCATCAGCAGAGGCACTCCGCTTCGCAGGAGGCACTCTGGTTGTGCACAGAAGCGGTTCGCGATCGGCGGGTTCCGTCTTCACGCAGGTTGGGGTTGGGGCGGGAGTTGGGAGCAGTGGTGGTGGAGGAGGTGCTGCCCCGTAGGAGTGGGAGTGCGAGTGGGATTGCGAGTGGGAGTGGGAGTGGGATTGCGAGTGGGAGTGGGAGTGGGAGTGAGAATGCGAATGTGAGTGCTGGTGCTGCTGGTGGTGGGAGTGCGGTTCCAGGCCAGACTCGAACTGAAAGGGACCGCGATGCAGCGACTCGACCGACTCAACTCGAACGTGGTGCTGGTACTGATGCTGATGCTGGTGTTGGTGTTGGTGTTGCACGAAGGATTGAAGGGTAGCCGCAGCGGTGGGCAAAGACTGATACTCGTCTGGCAGCTTCAAGGCCAGGCCCTGCTCTTCTTGAACATGATGGTGGAAAGTAAACTGTGATTGTGATGGGTAGGCCGTGGCCGTCGAGGTACCAGTCGAAGTGTAGCATCGACCCCCCAAGCGATGGGTGCTCGTCTTCGCGTTCTGGTGCATTCTGCCGCTAAACGAAGACCCTGGACCGGACAAGACCCAACAACCAACCTCAACCATCACGCGGCTCTGCCTTTGCCTATACCAGCTACGGGAGGGGATTAATTACCACGCAATACAACACCGCGTTCGTGTACGAAGCACTTGGCCCTGAGACCTGTAGAAGGGGATGGGAGATTTATATAGGGTATACTCGGTGTATGCACATGAACTGGTGCCATGCAAAAGTAGCGACGCAGCGCTCCTTAAGAGGAGAAATTGTCAATTTTGGGGAGTCAGCCATGGGTATAACAGGTTAACTTGCTCAGCAGTGTAGCGTGGCATGGCATAGTATGGCATGGTATGGCATGGTATGGCATGGTATGGCATGGTTCCTTGCAAGGGTCGATGCCATATCCACCACAACCCACCACCATATCCACCTGCAGCGCAGGTGCTCTTGCTATCGCTCCTGCTGCTGCTGCTGCACCAGTCAGTCTCCTCTCAGGCACTTGCGCAGACCCTCGATGAAAGCTTTGGTGGTCTTCATTGGACGGGTCCACTGCCAGCACCAGCATGAACATCAGCAGCAGCAGCAGCATCAGCACCTCCAGCACAAAGTCAGCTCGCCAGCGCCAGCGTCTCTCAAAGGGCCCCCCAAGAGGAAGAGACCGCCAAGCGCAGCCACTTCATGCTATCAACCTCGCAGGTGGCATTGGAGTGGCATTGGAGTGGCATTGGAGTGGCATTGGCATTGGTATTGGCATCTTCAGATAGGGCTACTGTGACTCTGCTACTCGACGACCGCTACTCCACTACCTTGGGACTCTGCTACCCCCAACTCGAGTACAGAGTAGTCCGTAAACCCATACTCACCACCACCGTGAAGCCTCCAAGCCTTTGAGCCTGCGTAATAAGCATGTCCTCGCATCGCTTCACCCCAACCCAACCAGCAATCCACGTTCACCGGTTCACCCAACTCCGACACCTCGTTTTGCCGTATCGGATTAGCGTTGAGCGAACGGGTACCCGTACAGTACGTTGGTCGCTTGCAGTTGCGGACATTTCAGAATCGACCCTGACCTGACCCTGGCGCGAACGCGGACCCTGACCCTCGTCCCCCGTTCTCACCAGACCCCCCCCTCCATTCACCTGGGCACTTCTACCGGCAGCGAAGGAAAAAAAGGAAACATCGCATCGTCCATCGAGTGCCCCGTCTCATACCTGCTCGGCACTCAACTGCCTTTGATCGTGTCCCAAGTCATTCACCGCCAGCAGTTGGCCCAGTTGGCCCCTTTCTTTGCGTCAATCAACGAACATCTCCCGATCCCCATCTCCCACGCCCAATCTCCCACCCAACTGGATGATACCTGTACTGCACCACACCGCACCCGCCGTAACCCATCGCGTGGTTCACGAAGTGGGGGATCTTCACCCGCCCATACCACACGGGAAATCCCCAGAAGACTTGGCGCCGCGCTGCACTGCACTGCACTGCAGCTGCATGCCTTCCTTGACCCTGAATCCTCAAATCCACTAGGACGAGTCTGGCTTAGGTCGGGATTGCCACGAGGCGCTACTCGATGACACTAGCTGGTGCTAGGAGTCCGCTACAGCAGTCTTCTTGGATCTGGCCTGGAAAACAAACGAACCCTAATGACAGAACTTTAGGCCCCATTAGGCTTGTTTAGGAGCTACTTTCCAGCGTGGAACACACACACACGCACACACACACACACACGAAATTAAGCAAAACATTTGCCCTCGCAAAGAGGACTGCAACACTATTCCAGTACCCACCACTTGGAGGATCCGACAATGCGACGCTGCGCTGCGCTGCGACACGCCTGCACTCCTGCACTGCTGCCCTGCCCTGCTGCACCTGGTTGAAGCTTTTCTTAGGGCCGGTACTTTGTTCATCCACAGTTGTAAGAGTGGTTCGATTGCTCGTATCCTCGCTAGTGACTAGGAGTGCCAGGTAGGCCTACGGGCGCTAGCATTAGCTTAGCTCCCCCAGTTCCAGTTCGGGTTCCAGTCCCAGTTTTCTACCGCTAGCCACCATTGGTTCTATACTTCGTATTTCCGTAGACGGTCCGGTACCGTACCCCAGAGCCGTTTCGTCTCAACTCTGTTTTTGGCTCTTCTTCCGCTTTCTAACGGTCTATGTGCCTGAGTGGTGGATGCCTGGTCGACTTCCAGAAGATCTGACCAGAGAAGAGGGGAGGGCGTTGAAGCAATGAGCAAGGTTGGGGGCGTTGAAATGATGGTGGAAAGCTTTCCGGTCGGTCTCGCCGCAGGCAAATCGATTCCATTTGTATTTTGTTTTGCTGGCTGCCACCTGCTCCTGCACCTGCACCTGCAGCTGCACCTGCAAAAACTTTAACTCGTTAGGTTGGGAGGAGGGGCCACACTAGCGCGAAAACACGTGATACTCCGTCAATACCCCAAGTCCCGACCCGATGTTTCTACCATGCGGGCCGTGTTTTGCCGATTGCAATCAGATCAAGTCGTGAACTGTACTGAAACAACTTGTTACCTCCCCTCCGTACTCGACCTCGGTTAGATTTGACAACAGGTTGATATCTTTTAGGGATTATGATTACGGAGGCACAGAGTTCCTTTCTCGAAAGAGCAATCACAGCGAATGTCAGTTTCAGAAGAGTCAAAAAGCCGTTAACTGATCAATTGTGTTAGAACCCATGCGGTACCTAGCAAATCACCTTTGCAGAAAAGGTACGGAGGTAGGAAAATCGAATTGAGTTACGGACCCGATTCCGCTCCATGAGGGAATTTGAAACAATCAATTAATGTCCGCAAACCTCTATCATACTTCCCTAGAGCCTCTCATCTGACATGACTCCTTCCCTCCCCATCCCATTTTCTCTTTACCTACTCGAGTACCTACCTATCTTACCCATATTACTTACAGTAGCATGCAGCAATAGCGTGCCAACTTACCATATCTAGACTACCTCCTAGAGCCTCATCTATCAAACTTCTCGCACCCTTCTTACTTTTTTCCCTCACTTTTCCTCTTCCCCTCTAGACTGACGTGCTTTACTAGTTTCTTTGTCCCCTATCGCATACCCTTCGTGTTTCTCCCGTTGTTTACGTGGTGAAGCTTCGTGTTGTAATTCCGGACGAGGTCAGTTACATTGTTGCCTTGGTTTCACTGACAAGGGATTCCCTCTTTTGCGATCGATCGTGTTGGTTCTTGCCCTACGGGTAAGGAATTATCACACGGCCAAGGGTTGCTAAAGATATACCATTCGAAAAAAGAATTGAGGAAGATGGAGAAAGGGAAAAGTAAAAAGGAAGGTACTCCACTTTCCCTTCTTTATCTCGGAGATGGGTTTGTTATGGTTTTCCAAAGCCCTAGTCTTCTGAGAAAGGAGGAAGAGAAGAAATGAATGTAGTGAGGCAAAGGAAAATTGACGATGCCGTCGAGTTGGATGGGTATGTAGATACCTCAGCCACACCATGGACACTCATCCTCAGGCAGCATCTGGGGCATCAAACCCACCAGCCACACCTCACAAACTTAACCCCGCCCCCACCAAATTTCCCTTCAGGTCTTCTCCCGCTCTAGCTCCTCGCATCAAGGTTATCAAACCAAACCCGTACACCACATCACCTCCACATCCAGTCCTACGACACCTACCTACCCTCGCCTACTCAACCTACAGCTTCACCCCCCCTAAGCTGAACACCACACACCCTAGCCTTGTCTGAACCCTCTCATCTCATCTCATCACACCATTCTCATCTTAGAATCCTCACCCTCGCCCACCACCCACAAATCAAGACACGCCAGCACCAAACCAAACCAGACCTTTTCAGATCACACTAAATCACCAACCCAGATCCAACCCAATAAACCCAAAAAAGAGAGAATCAAAAAAAGGGAAAGCGTTCAAGTACAACATTGCTGAAGTGCAAAATCGCAAAAATGACAACTACCCCCCACCTCCAAACATTCACACTGGAACACTTACCCCCCGGATATGTTATGCATGTGGCGGTCTATGAAAATGTGAGGAACGCGGGGTTTTTGCAGAAGCAGTTACTAGATGGGAATGAGGGCTTTGAGTATGCGTTTGTGGATGCTGGGGTGGTGGGTTCTTTTTTTCTTCGTGGTTTCTTTCCTTTTTTTCTCTTTTTTTTTTTTTCTTTTTTTTATATGAGAGAGAGAGTGAGAGAGCTGGAGGTTTGGGGGAATGAGTTGATGTTTGTTATTGGATGGGCGATGTGAGGTTGTAACGAGAGAGGGTGGTGAAGATGAGATGAGATGAGATTTTACGATAGAGAGAGAGAAACTAAGGCTAATGAATGAGTCCGGATATAGGTTCTAAGTACTACCCACCTCCTAGCCGCAATCTACCGAGCCCTCCGTGATTTCCAGAGTGGACGGATGAAGAGTCGGAATGTACATTCCGAAGTGGTATTCTCGCTTAGTTCGAATAATAATGTATGTTCCCCTTTTTTCCATCCTTTTCCCTTCCTTTCCCCTTTTTTTACCCCATCCCCATCCCATCCCCATCCCCTTACAACCCACTAACTAAAAGCCCCAAAAAAGATCTCCGAATCCTTCCGCCGTTTCGGCATCACCCCCTCAACCACAAATCTAATCGTAGTAAAGATCTCGCTCCCTTCCAAGCAAGTCTCCAGGGACGAAGTTCTTAAACATCTTACTGAAGTGATTGAGGGTGAGTCGGTGGATTTCTGTGATGAGGTGCTAGGGGGGATGGTGGATGAGAAGAGGGTGAGGAAGGTGTATAAGTTGGGTGGGGGGAAGAGTGGTATTGTACAAAGTAAGGGAGAGGGGGAGAAGAGGGAGTTGGAGGTTTTGGTTTTAGGAGGTATGGCTTTGAGGGGCTTTGGTGGTTAGGTTTGGTTATTAGTAAAAGCTGCATGAATGTAAAGGTAGTAGAAAGGAATATCTTAAAAGTCCTACCTAATAACGCACTAATTCTATTCTCTATGATAAAACACCAAAACTCCTACGAGTACCACTACGCTACCATATAGAATAATAAATCAACCTCACATATCCTCCCCACACACCCTCCTTATATCCTCATACCTAAAACTAATATCCTATTAACTCCCTTACCATCCTACATCCTCCATTTATAACATTATATCTCATATAGACCAGGCTACTAGAGACGTCCTAGTCTAACCGTAGTACGCCGTAGGTAAGGTAAGGTCAGGAGATAAGGAATAAGGAATAATAAATAAGGAAGGGGATAGAATAAGGTGAGGGAATAAGGAAGGAGGAAAAAGGAATAAGGTGGGAGTATTCGTAATATATAAGAGGATTATACTGTATAAGGATATGGGGGATGTTAGGTTATGGGAATAGGGATGTGGGAAATGGGGAGGGAGGGGTTATAGGGAATGGGAATGAGTAGGGTTAGGGGGAATGGGGAAGGAGTAGGGGGAATGAGGAAGGAGGGGTTATGGGGAATGAGTAGGGGTTTTGGAAAGGGGAGGGGGAGGGAAAGGGGGTTTGGTGTGGTGGAGAGGGTGGAGGGGGTAGAGAGGTGTAGAGGGGAAGAGAGGGTGGTGGTAATCGGGAGAGAGGGTAGAGAGAGTAGTAGTCATAATAAAACAATCATTATAACAAAAAATTCCTCTACTAATCAACTATTAACTAACTAGTAACTAAACCATAACAAAACTAATCTAACTTACCTTAAAACCGTTAAATAATTAAATTAACTAAACGACGTTTATTTAATCTAATTAATTAAAATAATAATATATATAAGTTAAGTCTCTTGTATATCTTATATATATAAGGTACTAAATAGAAGATAGTTACGTACTTCTCTCTTTAAAGCTTCTTTATTATAACTATAAAGACTTCTAAAGTCTCTAGAATAGCCTCTAAAAAGACCTTCTCTTAATTAGAGACTATTAGGTTCTTATTCTTAAAAACATCTCTACTTATTTTAATATAGTCCTAGTTAAGACTACTATACTTCTATCTCTTTAACTAACGCTCTATCTCGGTAGTCTACGTAGATACCTAGTATTCTAGCGACTTTTACTCGGTTAGGGTTATTCTATAAAGACTCTCTACTTACCCCTTAGCTAGCTTCTTACTTTATACTTATCCTATTCTCTACTATATGTAACGAATACTCAAACTGGCTAACTAAACTTGGCTGGGTGTTCGCTGGTTGGTATGCTATGATAAGAAGAAGAAAGCATCCCTATTTGCTATAAGAGATATGATAGTGCTCGACCTGTCAGGACGCCGCCTGGTCTTCACTTGTCACATGCTTAAGTGATTCGTGACACTATATTCTATTTATCTTCTAATAATTAGTAGTAATACTAGGATCTAAGCTTATTTTATCTCTTTAACGAAATCTACTTATTACTAATTAGTTCTAGACTAAGGCGCTAGGAATTACATATTTGTTATCCCTTATACGCTTTCGCTACTTATTATTTATAAGAATACCTTTAACTTATACTTATACTTATATACTTATATATACGTTACCTTTCCGTAGCTTATATTTATAACCCTCTTTACTCTTACTAGACTAGTTATAAAAGTATAATAATAGGTCGTTTACTTTTAAAGAAGCGTTAGTTAACTAATTCTCTTACCTTGTACTATAAACTAATTCTTATTCTCTATACCCCTATTTTAGACTAATCCCTTTATTAGGCCTATTATTAAAAACAGGCTAAAATCTACTTATAAATAGCCGATACTTGGCCTCATATAAGCTAGTAGAAACCTAACAAAATCTGCACTTACTAAGCTAGTAGATACCTTATAAAACAACCCCTCTTTTAGCCTCGCTTAGCTACGCGATTACTATTAATAATATACGCGGCCACGTACCCTTAAAGGACCCGAAAGTTATTCTTGTCGCATTCTAAACAAAAGTAGTAATCTCTCGTAATCTCGGAATAGTACAAGAGCTCGATACTTCTACTCGAAAGCTTGTTTCCTTTTTATTATTTACCTAAATACCTCGCTAGACGAACTAATAGATCTACCTACTATAAAGAAAGAGCTGAATAAGGACTTCAAAGAACTCGGTACGAGCTTATATCGCGCCATGTACTATTTAATCCTTCACAGGAAGAGAAGGACGAACATGCTTGAGATCCAACGGACTTTTAGGGGCACGAAGACACACTCCCCTACAAGTTTTTAATTGTTTGGGATTGTATAGATCGCATTACCTTGTATTTTGTATAGATACACATGTATGGACACCAGTACATGGAATTGGGACTGGATAGAACACTTGTTTGGATGGTAGACTTGTAAATTGGATATCGGATTAGTACTCATACAGAGTCCACTCCTCTTGTAACGAAGAGGGTGTCGTCTTTTTCTTTTTCTTAACGGGTAATTGTTACGACGTAGTCTTAGCCGAGACTCCTATACTCTTATATCCGCTACCTAACCCCCTATCTCGGTAGACTTCTTGGATACCTAGTATTCTAGCGGCTTCTACTCGGTTAAGGTCGTTCTATAAAGACTATTTACTTATTTATTAGCCAGCTTTTCTCCTTATATTATCCTATTATATACTGTATTCTATTCGTTCTCTAACGCCTACCCTAAACCTTGCGTTTTAGTTAGTTAGAAAAAGCCTCTAGAAGTCTATAGAACTGCTAGAATTCTATATACTAATCGATAAAATGATTCCATTCTCTTTTATAGGTGCTCTAGGAGTATTCTACATAGGATGTTCTACCTGGAATTCTATAGAATATGGTTCTATATGCCGAGCGTTGTTTGGGATTACGAAAATCACGATATTTAGAATTATATATAACTTAGTCAGTTACGAATTAAACTTAATTTTCCGGGATTTTCTGTAATCCGTGCTTTTTTAGTAGCCTAACCAATAAAAAAGAACGCTAGTATAAAATCTTATAAAATTGTGAATTCTAATATATATTTGTTTTTTTTATATATACTAATATATCTAAAGTACCTAGATATACCCTACGCGGTAAGCGTATACTCGATATAGATCTAACGCTAAATTAGGATATAGGAGGGTTATAAAAGAGAGCTAAATTACAACTACGATAGGCTGAACCTAGTAGAATCAAACTTAATTTAGCTTATTTAAGCGCTATTTGTAATTCGAGATCTCTAAGTATTATAAGCGTTATATCATATTAGAGCTAGAGAGTCGTCCTCCTTGTCTACCTTATCCTCTACCCCCTACTAAGATAAATCTAATTCTTTTAAGGCGGAAGAGGCTAAATAATAAGTAGAATAAGATTAAGTATAAATAGACTATAAATAAGTAATAATAGATATAAGGAGAGAAGAAGAGCGATTAGTAGAAGTTATCCGAGTAGTAGGATAAATAGCGAATAAGGCTATGGAAGATTTACTACCTAAGCGTAAGGTAGACAAGGTCGAACCTAATGGGAGTTTTATACTATTAAGGCTAGATAATCGATTAGTATCTATACTAGGTTTAATTCGTAGAGGGTAGAGAGTTTATAAGATAACTATAGAGAGTAATCGTAGTTCGATAATAGTATTAAAATCTATAGGATACTCTATAAATGTTTAGTTCTCTATGTTTATAGATAGCGTACCTATAAGAGTATTATATAAAGCTACCAACTTTAATAATTATAAGTACTAGTATAGATATAATTTCCAGTTAGCGCGAACCTATAGGATTATAGATAAGTAGATTAGTAATAATCTAGGAAAGAACTATCCTTATAAAGATCTAAAGCTCTAGAAAGGTTCCTAGGGGCCTATAAGTAAGCTAGATCTATTTAATATATCCGAATAAGATGATTAGAGTAATCTTAAGGATACTATAAGGTTAAAAGGCGCTTATAGAGGTAAGGCGATTTAGTATTAAACAAAGGTGTATTATACTATAAGTACTAATCTAAATAACCCTCCGCTAGTCCCTAGTTTAAAGGAGGTAAAGGCTATAGAAAAAGCCTTTTAAAAGATATCTAAATTATTTATAAAGTCTATAATTAATATATATTTAAGTAGTTTATCTAAAGATAGCTTAAATAATAAGAACTCCTCCCTTTTTAAGGATAATAATAATAATAATAATAATAATTTAAGTAGTAATGATCCCGATATATAGATTTATATATTAAAACAGGAGAGAATATAAGTAGCTCTTACAGAAAAGGATTATATAAATACAAAAAAGAAGAAAAGGAAGGAAAATTAAAGGAAATTAAGAAAAGGATCAAGTACTATTACTACTTATTAGCTTAAATCTTTAAAAGATTCGAGGAGTAAATTAATAGGCCTAGCTAATGTGAAAGTAGATATATAAACTAACTTTTATTATAAGAGCTTAATATATAGGAACTTCCCTAGTATATATTAGATAGATAATATGATAGGAAACTATTATTTAGTAATAGTAGAGAGCGTAAAGAGATAGGCTAAACTTATACGTAAATAAGAGGCGTTAATAGGCGTACCGCCCTACTAGGTAATTAACGATTTAATAGCTCTAAATAAGAGGGGTGAAACTTAGAAAGATATAGTTTTAATACTACTATAAAAAGGGAGACTCCTAGTATAAATATACTTTTAACTAATTCAGATAGTTCTCCTACTCGACTATAAAGATATCTAGCCTAATGTCACGAATCACGTGTTGGCATGTGATAAGTAAAGACCAGGCGGCGTCCTGACAGGTTAAGCACCATCAACACACTCTTATAGCAAATAGGGATGCTTAGGCTAGCTAAGCGATCCAGGGGTTTCATCTGATAGAAGTCATGTGACCGTCATTGATCATTGTGTCACGAGTCACGTGCACACGTGACAAGTGAAGACCAGACGGCGTCATGACAAGCCGAGCACATATGGGCCTGGGAGCTTTATGTGTTCTG